TGCACTGAAGAACACATCTCAAATATAACAACAAGACTCTACATTGCCATACCTCCATTCTTCTCAAACCAGATGGTCATTTGCATGTTTATTCACTTCATTAATGTCAGCTTATCTAAAGCTAGCTGCAGCAACTCTGTCCTGCAAATTGCAACCATTGAAGAATTAACACAAATTTACTACAATACCAAGGAAGTCGTTCTTAAACGCTAAAGAAAATTCTTCACCTTCTGCGGTTCGTCCCTCAAATAATCTTATTTCGTACTTCTTCGAGTTTTTTCAGTATCTCTCCTGGAGTACGGTCCAGTTCGTCAGCAATCTTTCTCTGCATATCCAGAGGAAGGGTTGGGAACTGCTCGCACAGATCCCCATCAATCACATCCTGTAAAGAACAGCCAAGTACGGTTGAGTAATATGGCAGTGCAGGCCAAGATCAAGTGATAGCAGAAATATCAGTATCGACTTAAAGAACAGCCAAGTACGGTTGAAGAGCACATTAATATAATCTACAACTATTCAAGCAATCAATCAAAAGCATCTAACATGAACTACACAGAAGGAATTTAAAAAATTCAAATAAACAAGAATCAGGAGCAGCAAATAATTCACCTTAACAGGAAAATAAGCTGATCTATAACCCATATGATCTCTTCCACATAAAGGTGGATGCTCCTGCCTCATATGCATCTCCAAGTGAGAAAAGAAATCAACATCATCACGGGAGGTGAAAGCATGCAATGCCCCCAAGCTTCCCATCACTGTACCGTACAAAATGCATTCTCCACCCCCTGGAATCAAAGACGCCTTTTGCAACGACGTGACCATGTCACCGATGTGAAATTGTATGATCTCCTCAACTTTGTTAGGAGCTCCATTAAGCTTTCCCTGCTCCCATTTTATCTTTCCTCCGGTTGGATCTTCTTCAATCTCATCTGAGACATCTTGTGGTAACCGCACAAAATAGATATTTCCAAACTTATCAGCACCAGCCATGGTGTCAAAATCCACATGATATGATGCCGTAATCCATCTAGGAACAGAATCATCAGCAAATATGTATAGTTGGTTTTCATCCCGCCTATACTTGCAATAATGGAAGGACTGCAATGCCAAATGAGAAAAAAGTTAGTGTCAACTGTCAAGTTAGCGCACACAACACAAAATAGGTGGAACATGCATGCAGTAATCTTCCTTGGATAGACACAATTGAAGCACAGATTAATATTATATTCAGGCATACCTCCTGAATGTCGCCAACATAAATTCGATCACGGTATGTCTGAATAGACACAATTGTATTCGGGAACAACTTATTTTCACATTTCCTAAGCAATCTTCTTTTCCCCAAATCATACAATCTGAGCACGGATCCTATTCCTGCAAGTAATCTTCCTTGGAACTGAGCTAAAGCGAGAGGAACACCTTCCACTTGTGTCTTGTGCAAAAGCTCAAGGGATTTTCCATCCTCCAGAAAACGATAAATATGAATATATCCAGCAACTAAACTCCGTTTTGGGAAAAACTGCAGCCCCTTTGCAGTGCCAACGGCTAAAAGGGTTCCATATTCCTTGTCGTGGAAATTCACGGTACAAACGCTGAATGCCGCTTCACTGTCCTGAAGCTCCAGCAGACAAGTTGTCGTGGCTGACCTAGGATCGAGAACTCGGATGCAAGAAACCCATTTTTCAGACTCTGCCTTTGGGTAACCATAATGCTCATCAGATAAAGGATCGTCCTTATCATCATCATCTCCACCATTCTCCATTTGCTCCATTGAGCCATGTCCATTTTCCCCAGCCCCTGCAGCCTCAAAGCATTCTTTTCTAGCAGCTTCTCGCTCTTCTGCAGTGAATGCTCCCTGATCACTCTCAATAACAACCAATAGTTTTCTCCTAGGATGAAGCACAAATTTTCTTGGTGTGTACCTAAGAGGAATGACTGTTTCGTTAAATGTTTCTCCCAATCTCTCGATGGTAAAAACCCTCAAGAAACTGCCAGCCACAGCAACTACACCTTCTGCACACTGATCCGATGAAAATGAGGAGGCATATTCAAGAGTTTCATATGATAGTGGCGTCAATAGAAAATGCCCTTGATGAATATATCCAAGCCAAGGTCTACTTGAGAGGCAAAGAATTGCACGCCTCCCCCTCAAAACAACAGAAAATAGTTTTGGTGCTCTTAGTCCTAAGAACCGGGATCGGGAATCAGAAAGCTGGCCTGTCACCATATCCACTACTGTTCTGAATAAAACCCCAGAATGCAATGCAGCATTTAGGAAAAGGCTAGCAGGATGATCTGCACCATCCTCCCCACCTACTGATGCCAACACTTCAAGAAATAGGAGAGATTCTGGAGCTGCAGAAACACTTTGCACACTTAAAATTTGCATACAGTCATCAGGATCCAATGATAGAATTCGTATCGTGTTGTCATAAGAACCAACTGCTAGGAAACGTGAACGCTGTCTTCCTTCAGGTACAGGGGCAATGTCCAAGCAAGCCACATCTCCAGACATTTCATGCTTCTCCACCTCTATTAACTGACCAGTCATGTCCATCTCAAAATAAATAAGCTCACCCCCACTCAGGGCAATCACCACTTGAAGCCTATTAGAACCAACCTTAACAATGGTCCTCTTGCCCGAAGTTCTCCATTCATTAATACGCCCATCTTCCCTAATATGCCTAATACCGTTAGGATGGACTTGCATGAGAGAATCATCGCCTATCAAAGAAACAGCAAGGGAAGGGGTCGTGTCAAGAAATCCACTATCACTAACTTCTTCAACTGTCTCACCAATAGAAAGAACAAGCGTTGCATTAGCAAACGACACAACAATGTATGCATCAAACTCATCATTGATGTTCTTTTTCACAGTCCAAACAGCACTAGGAACACCAGGAAGCTCTGACACAGCCATTTCACTGATGGCCAAACCAGGTCTCAATATTCGCAAAGATGATCGAGGACCACGCCCACAGAGAGTAAATATCTGGGGTGTTTCCTCCTCAAAAAGATTAACAATTTTCATGTCCATTATAGGCATTAAGCTCTCAACTTGATCAATCCTAACAAGATTTTTAAGTCTCCTAGGCTGAAAAAAGACAGGCTGAAAACCTTCTTCTGTTTCCATCAGAGTAGCCGATGAAGACTCAACATCAGCATCATCTCCTATGGATTGAAACTGGTATAGTGAGTGATTTCCAAATTCTGAGGCAGCAAATAGAAATCCTGATTTCAGTACACACATTGAAGCTGTAACTGCAATTGTATCAAAATACTTGATCTTCAGTTCTTTGACACTGTCATTGTTGTGTTCCAAGGTAACCTTAAATATATCTCCATACTCTGTCTGTAAAAGAAAGAAAAACATTGTTTTTTGCTTATGCATTGCTGCTGAAACTATAAGCACACCACGTTCAGCAGGTAAGTCTGCACGTCTAGGAATGACCGCTCTCACATCAGGATGTCCCTGATTCTTATAAATCACAAAATTTTCAGCACAGACTAACACTCCACTAGGACCATCCCCACCTCCAGGGACAGTAACAAGCATATTAGCACCATTATCAACAGGTTCTGACCACTTCCTAGAGACGTGATTGAGACCGAGATCAAGTTCATAAAATGTCAAATGCTTCTGGGCCTCGCTTGCTGCCACCCCCGTAGCATCCTGATCTGCCTCCGAGTAATCCAACTCAATAGCAGCAAATATTGGATTGTCAAATCCACAATCAACTCCACAAATTGAATAGACTATCGTATGCGACTTGTGAGCCTCCAATGGCGAAGAAATAGTAAGCCTCGCTGCTGTATCTCTGTTCAAAACGTAAACAAGCTTCTGCTTCTCACATGCCCCAATCATAACAGCCCTTCCTTTGGGATCAACAGCCAAAAACTGCCCCGGAACAATCCGGCGACAACCAGACTTCCCAAAAGTCTCCTGATGTATCTTGTCAAACACATTTTTATCCTTATTGTACTCCAGAATGACAATTCGACCCGAATCAGACCCAACAACAATATAATCTTTGAGAGCCCCAGTAAGCCTAAATTGAGCTAAAGACCGAATAGCACCAAAGATTTCAACAGAAAGAAGAGTTTGGATCTTACCACTATCATCTGGACGAATGAGATCCAGGACCTTCCCTCTGGCCACAACTATCTCCTGCGTCTTCCCACCGGAGAAATTCCCATTTATAGCAAAAACAATCCCGGTAGCTCGTTGCAAAGTGAGGTTATATAGGTACATAGCTCAAACAATTGCCAGCGGGTGCACTCAACTATGTCGACCGAAATCAGTCTTAGGGATTAAGGTAAAGAAATGGCGGTTCTAAATGGTATCAGCAGAACTTCGCCATGAAGATGAAGGTAACGAGAGGCCTTTAGTGTATGGGAGTTGGAGGTGTAAACCCCTGAAAATGAAAAAAATGCGTCAAAATTACGAAAATTTGAGTGCAGTATAAACCCTAGTCCAATTGAAGGGGACGATGAGCGCGGCAAACAGATCTGGGCCAATTCCCGGCTTCGTTCAAATCTAACGGCTCAGATTCTGAATAAATGATCGAGCTTATGAATGCGTGATGCACAGGATTACTAAATATTTTTAAATGATATTTTGAGATTATTAAGTGGTAGTTTATTACTAAAATATAATAAAATTTAAATGCATAAAAATTTAGTATTAAATGCTTGTGTACATAAATATTTTATTTATTTACTTTTGATATGGTATTTATAAATATTATTCCCAATCAACTATTATCTTTTAAATATTAAATATTCTATTATTTAAAAAATTATTGTTAATTATTCCATTAATCTTACTTAATGAAATATTATGATTTGTGAATGGTTCACTAAATCCACTAACAATTTTTAGTTAATCACTTGGGAATGAATGCACCCAAACGCATTCATTACCAACTAAACCCATTAGCCTATAAAACTGGCAATTAAGAGATTCTCATGTTCATATGATATCCCCTTGAGAACACATGGCCAACCTCCATTTTGATTCTTTACTAACTTATTTTCTCTCGTTTTTGGCCATCGTTAACCTCTCGTCCTCCACTCGGACCTTCGAAAACCCAGTTCGAAACCGCCACCATAGCCATCATAAGCTTTCGTTTTTAATGAGAGATGTGTTCGATTCAACTTCTCGCTCCTCTACGTCCAAGTTCCCAGCAAACACCAAAACAACGACTAATCAATTACCATTTTCAAAACCCTTAGGGTTTTTTCTACCCAGGGGAGGAATTCCTATACCTGAAGTCTACACCACGACGACGACGACATCTCCTACTACTGGAATCTCTGCTCAAACACCTGATCTATCAACAATTGGAATATCGTTTCCTGTTAGGGCGATTCTCCAAGAGTTAGAGTACGGAATTGTGAGAGAGATTGATGAAGAGTTGTTCAAAACTTCGAGTCGTAAACCACATGTAGTTGTTGGGAGAATAAAAGGGTTGTACGTAGAAAACAACGGAAATAGTGGTGAGCCTATGATAGCTATGAGGGTGTATCTTGGTAACGGTGAGATTAAAGATGGGTTAAAAATGTTTGGCGTGTATAAAAGTAATCACGTGAAAGAGTCTCATATTACTATAATCGGTGGCATGGGCAAGTACCTTGGCGCTAATGGATATGCAACTTTGAAGAAATCATTTAGAACAAAGTTGGGAGCAAATTATAACAAGTTCATGGAGTTGAATGTTTACTTGAGCAAATAGTGTATTTGGTGGCATGGGGGCATTTTGGTAATTATGTCAAGTGATTATTTTTAACCCAAGAAACTACCATAATAATAAGAAATCCAGTTATTTAAATTTTTGTAATTTTGTTGAAGTTTAGAATTGTGCATGAATTATTTAAAAGACGTGTCAACTCAATCGTAATTTAAACAAACGAAACATAAAAATTTTAAAATGAAAAATTATATTTAAAAAGATTAAAAAAAAAAAGTTAATATTAACACATTATAAATTCAACTTTTGTTGTTAAATTAAAACATCATAGTATAATATATTATAAGTTATATGATACATTAAGTTTTTTACTTAAAAGTAATTTAGTTTCCAATTCACCTCGAAAGTAATTTTAAAATGTGCAAAATATATTCTTCGTTGGAGTTGACGTCATTTATTTAACTTTCAACCATAAAGTTTTTTTCCTTTTCAAAATATTAATTATAATTCGTTTTCCAACTTCATTCTACTAATAAAATGTACATAATTTAAAATATAATATAATGTTATCAAAATTGAAAATACCATGATTAAAAAATAACGATATATATATAAAAGGCGAGAATAGGGGAATATAACCATCTTTCGGCCGAGTTTATCCAATGAGGAAAACTTTCTCCCGATTCTCTCTCATTCTCAATACTTATAGTCTTGATGTTTCGAAACTTGCAGTAAGTTAGTAATATTTTTTGTCTGGATGTTCCGGTTAACTTGGTGAATTGTAAATACTGAACTTCAACTATTTTATATTATCTCATCATTAGTATTTTTGGATTCGATGTTCACGAAGTTACAAGTTAAAAGAAAATATTCAACTCACTCCAACTACTCTTTGTTCAATCTCGTTCTCGGGTAATCGATATATTTTTCATCACTTGTTTGTGTTTGGGGTATCAGTTTGAACAAATCCATTTTCCACCAAAAGCAAATTTAGTGAACAACATCACTATGGAAAAGGAGAAGATTTTGATGGAGGTTTAGGTTTGATTAGAACCAAAAACCAACTCCATTTTATGTTTAATCATTAATTACCAGCTCCAATTAACTGCCTTCAACTTGGAATAATATAAAAGCCCACAACCCTTCACCTTCTTCTTCATCCAAATCTTTCAAGTTCTCTTCTCTGAAAGAACACAAAAGAAAATGGCTAAAATTCCTCTCTTTTTCTTCGTCGTTTTGTGCCTGGGTTTCAGTGGTCTCAGATCTTCCACTTCTGCCAGACTCTTGATGGATGACGAAGTCGACGCCGAGTCTCTGCCTCAACCGGCGGCGGTTTCTCCTCCTCTCTCCACCATCCCTGCACCGGCGGCCACTTCGCCGGCAACTCAGGTTCACTTTTTTTTTTGTTAGATTAATAAAAATATGAAAATTTGCATTTTGGTTTGATAATAACCATTAATACTTTAATATTTCATTAATACCTTTAAATAATTTTAAAAACTTTAAAAATTACTTTAAATTTTTTAAAAAAACTTAAAAATTAGTTTAATTTTTTTAAAAATTACTTACACTACAAAAATTAATATTAATGCCCTTAATTTTTTTTAAAAAATAGGTTTTAAAAAGTTTATTTTTTTTTAAATTTTTTTTATGGGTAAATAGATAGACGGTTTTAATATAATAAAAACTCATTTTAATAAGGATTTAAGAATATTAAGATTAATCTTAAAAAATTAAAATAAGATATTGATGGTAAATATATTTTTACACTTTTAGAAATATATATATATTAATATTTAAACTTTTGAAAATTTATCGATATTTTTTTAACAAAATACAAATTTTAATGTTTATGAGTGTTTTTATTAATTTAGTTTTTTTTTTTTCGATTAAATTCTTATGAGAATTTCAAAATTGTAATTTTTATGAAGAATATCTTCTAATTGGTGTTACTTTCGATTGTATTTTATTCAGGTCGGAACAACTACGCTACCGTCGACCACGGGGAGCCAGATTCCGGCAACCACTCCAACTCCGGCAGCCACCAACGACGAGGAAGACGACGACACGGCAGTACCCCAAACCAACCCACCAGTAGCAGCAGCCAACAATCAAGGGCCAACTGAAGACGATGAAGAAGATGACAATTCAGCTACTCCAGCCGCCGCCGCTGTCCCCACATCAACACCTCCAACTAAGCCCCTTCCGGCGGCGGCGGCGGTGGGGGTGGGGGTAACGGGCACCGAACCAATTTCATTTTACATGCACGACATCCTGGGAGGGTCCCATCCATCCGCCAGAGTAGTGACCGGAGTGATCGCGAATTCCGACGACAGTGGCCTCGCATTTTCAAAGCCCAACGACAACTTATTCCCAATCCAAGGAACACTCCCCTTACTCAACAACGACAACCTTAAAAACATCATCAACAACAACAACAACCTCCCTTTCCTTGCCGGCTTCAACGGCGCCTCCCAAGGGAACAACTTGCTCCTCCAAAACAGCGCCAACAACGGCATCCTCAACGGCGATGAAGACAGCCAGCCCTTTGTCACTGCCGGCCAGCTCCCATCTAGAGTCACCCTTCAGCAGCTCATGTTCGGCTCCGTCACTGTGGTCGACGACGAGCTGACCGAAAGCCACGAGCTTGGCTCGGCTGTGGTGGGGCGTGCGCAAGGTTTTTACTTGGCTAGCTCGTTGGATGGGACTAGTCAAACTGTGGCTCTGACGGCTTTGTTTCACGGCGGTGGACATGACCACGTGGCTGAGGATAGTATAAGCTTCTTTGGGGTTCATCGGACGGCGGCGAAGGACTCGCAGATTGCGGTGGTGGGAGGGACAGGGAAGTATGAGAATGCTAGAGGGTATGCAACGGTGGAGATGCTTCATCATGAAGTGGATCAGCATACAACGGACGGTGTGGATACTATTGTTCATTTTAGTGTTTATCTCTCTGAGGAGTGATTTGGGATTTGAGATTTGCTGCTGTTGATTGTCGTGTTTATGTATTTTAATAAAATGTTATGTTATTGTGTTTTAATTAATATAAAATTTAATGACAAAGTTTGCTTTTAATTTGTCTTATTTGACACGTGACAAAATTTGCCTTTAGAAGTGGTGGTTCATTCTTCTCCCTAATTGATATGGGATCTTACAATTCAATCTTCTTCCAGGGTCGTTCCCATTCTCCAATCGATGTGGGACCCCCAATTCCTCCCCCATCTGGTGGGATCTCACAATCCTCCACCCTTCTTCAGGATCGTTCCCTTCTCCAATCGATGTAGGACCCCCAATTCCTCCCTATCTGGTGGAATCTCACAATCTTCCACTCTTCTTAAGAGTCGTTCTCTTCTCCAATCGATGTGGGACCCTCAATTCTTCTCCGACTGATGGGATCTCACAACCCTCCACCCTTCTTCAGGGTCGTTCCCTTCTCTAATCAACGTGGGACCCCCAATTCCTCCCCAACCGGTGGGATCTCACAATCCACCCTACTTTAGGGCCAGCGTCTTCACAGACACTCGTTTTCTTCTCCAATTGATGTGGGACTCCCAATCTACCCCTTTCGAGGCTCAACTTCCCTGCTAACACATCACTCGGTGTCTGACTTTGATACCATTTGTAACGCTCCAAGCGCACCGCTAACGAATTTTATGCTCTTTGGGCTTTCCCTTTCGGGCTTTCCTCAAGTAGAGCATTTGCTAGGGAGAGGTTCTCCAACCTATATGGGATCTCATCCGATGTTTCCACCCTCTTATGGTCAGCCATGCAAAAAACTGAAATCAACCTATTCACTCAAAATCTCTAAGCACCACAAAAGCTCTATTACAATCTTTTTCTCCCCAATCAGCGATAATGTTTCTAAATGGATGTGGGCTGATTTTCGGATCATATTCGTAGCGAAAAAAATGCATCTTTTCTTCGTTCTTGATTCTTGTTCTTAATATTTTAAATGTTTTTGTGCGGTATATAGGTGGGGTGGGCTGAAAATGAAACGATGCACACACCTGTATGGCTAATTCGAAGCCCCATATAGAAAATTTCTTTTTCTATACTTTTTCTCGAGAGGAATCCCCTGCATCTTATCGATCAAATCTCTCGAGATGCCAAATTCCTGTCTGGGGCTATGGAATTCTTGTCCTCTTCCTATCATTTCACCGCCCCGCCATGGGAATTGATACCACATAACTTAAATATATACCCAAATTCCCGCACTCACTCCTCACTCACATCCTCTGTTTCTTCTGTGATTTCCCGTTTCAAAGCTCCCCACCCGCCCCTTCGATCAGAAAATGGCCATTGAGGTTGTTGTCAAGGCTGCTACTGGTGCTCCCGATGTTCTTGGAGACTGTATGTTCTTCTTTCCCTTGTTTTTTTTCGTCTTCTCAGCAAAATTTTGTTTGATTTTTGTTTTCCCTTTGTTGTAGGCCCTTTCTGCCACAGGGTTCTTTTAACTTTAGAGGAGAAGAAAGTTGCTTATAAATTGCTTCTTGTCAATCTCTCCGACAAACCCAGTTGGTAATGTCTCGAAATTTGGGTTGGAATTAAATGGGATTGTGTGTTGATTGTTGATGATTTTGGCAGGTTCTTGGAAGTGAGCCCAGAAGGGAAGGTGCCTGTTGTGAAGTTTGATGGCAAATGGGTTCCTGATTCTGATGTCATTGTGGGGATTCTTGAGGACAAGTATCCAGACCCTTCTCTTGTTACTCCTCCTCAATTTTCTTCTGTGTAAGTTTATGCCTTATTTAAGATTTTAACTCTGGAGAACAAAGTATTCTTAAACGGTTGGCTTGGGCCGTTACAAATAGTATCAGAGCCAGATACCGAGCGGTATGCTAGTGAGGACACTAGCCCACAAAGGAGTGGATTGTAAGATCCCACATCAAGGAGATCGAAACATTCCTTATAAGGGTGTAGAAAATACTCCTGAGAAAGTCCAAAGAGGACAATATCTACAGAGGGTTAGCTTGGGCTGTTACATTAACTTTGAGATACCACATAGATGATTGGGGAGGAGAATGAAGTATTCCTCGTAAGTGTGCAGAAACCTATCCCTAACAGACGCGTTTTAAGAACCTTGATGGAAAGTTCGAAAGGAAAAGCCCAAAAACGATAATTTCTGCTAGGGATGGACTTGGGGCGCTTATTTTTCTTAATAGTATTGCCCAATTCAGTACTCGGACATGGCATTGGCCAATTGTGTTGCCTCTTCTTTACTTGGGCTCGCAGGGGATCAAAGATAAACGGTGCTTTTGTAAAATTCTTGTTGAGCAAGGACCCCAGTGATGGTTCAGAGCAGGCTTTGCTTGAAGAGTTGAAGGCGTTGGATGAGCATCTTAAGGCTCATGTATGTGTGTGTATTATATGAACAACTACATTAAAATGCTTATGGTTTCACCCTACTCATTTTTGGCAATGCCCAATGCTGTCAGGGTCCTTATGTTGCTGGAGAAAAGGTAACTGCTGTTGATTTGAGTCTGGCACCAAAGTTGTACCATATTGATATTGCTCTTGGCCATTTCAAGAAGTGGGTTTTCCCCGAAAACTTACGGAGTTTATCCGCATACAAAAAGGTACGATTTAGTCACACTGGCGTTAGATAGCTTGTCATGAATACTTTTGATACATTACCCACTTCGATTCATCTACGTATTGGATTCATTTAGTTCATCTTCCGTATTGATACATGAATCATCTTAATTCATATATGAGAATTAGTATCGGTATGTTTATATAAAGGTTTGTCTAGCATTGTTGTGAGACGTGGAGCTAGACAGTTAGGAGAAAGTTCTGCAAGTAAAACTTTATAGTGTGAGAGATACACTTATAAACACTTTGATCATAGTGATTGGCTACGACTCGTGAATGTAGAGGAATTTTCTTCTCTCCGGATCATGTAAATCTTTGTGTTTTTTTGTTTATTTATGTTCGTGGGTGTGTGAGTGCAATCGATCTTGCCTCCGCTTCTCTGCTAGAACAAATTTTCCTAGGAAAAACTTTGTTCTTATGTTAAGCGTAGACGAACGGGTTCAATGAAACTACTCCCCTTAGTTTGTTCATCTAGTTTCTTGGAGTTGGAAACGATCAGGTTCGACATACGTTCGATCATAACAAAGAAAAGGAAGTATTCTAACTCAACATTTTAGCTCGAGAAGACTAAAGGGACCAAAAATGTAAATTTTTCTAGTGAATTAGCTTGAATTGGGAAGGCATACAATGGTCGGTTTGTTTATTGTGCAGTTGCTTTTCGCTCGAGAATCGTTCGTGAAGACGAAGGCTGTCCCAGAACATGTCATTGCTGGTTGGGAGACCAAGGTGAATGCTGCTTGAACCAAGACATGTTTTCATCCCAAGTTATGAACAGCACTGGACGTTGGTTGTCCTGTTTTCCTATGCCTCAATAAAACTGTATCACCGTGCCTCAATAAAATGGTGTATTATCACTTTACTTTGACTCATCATTAACCGTACTTATATTATATCACTATGCCTCAATAACACGGTGTATTTTCCTCCCCCGCCCTTATGTAAATACTCTCGACCGTCGCTTGAGTTCAGCTCTACGAAGTTGTGTGAGGTTCGTCTAGAGGTTCGAGCCACTATTCGGGGTCATTGGAACCTAAACTAGTATGTTATTGTATAATGACAAGTTCCATCACTCAAATTCAACTCACGCAAGTTATGTGTAATTGGTTGAGGTTCGAGACACCATGTGGGGTCAATGGGACCTAAACTAATATCGAGTGTTGAATTTGGTAGCTTCAACTCCATTATGGTATCACGACGAGCTCTCGAACATGAGTAAGTGCATGACTAAACCAACAAACTGATACCACACCCATCAAAATTGATTGCAGAAAAGAGCTTTAGTTGTGAATTAGTAATTGAAGAAATAACGTCCAAATTACTGGATTTGGGCCAGATTTCCCACAACCCTAAGACATTTGACATTTAGCTACTAAATAAATTGAAATTTAGGATTAAAATCATATATATATATATATATATATTACCTTAATTTAATACTTAAACAAAATATTAAATTGAAGATTATTTTTAGAAATTAAGTTAGTAGAGCATTGTATATATATATGTTTAAAAACTTTAAAATAATTATATTTTTTAAAAGAATAATAAATGGAAAAAAATTATGAAAGCAAACTGGTGAGTAATCCCACTCCAAAAATAAATCAAAATCTTCTAGGTGGCAGGGAGGAGGAAGGCTCCCGACCTGCCCGCCACGTGGACATCTCTAAATTGATTTAGTTATAAAATTTTAAAATTTAAATTGATGTAATTATTAATTTAAAATTTACCATATATTTAAAATATTTATTAGATAAGATTTTATTACTCTTTTTTGTTTTTTAAAACGCTCCAAATAAGAATAAAAGTTTTAATTTATAATATCCGTTATCAAAAGATTTTAATAAGTAACGAAAAGAAAAAAAAAATGATTTAGTTGATTTATACTTTCTTTTCATTTCAATATCATACATAATTCAAACATAATTTAAATTTTATAGACGACAATTTAAATTCATGAGGAGAAGCAAGTAAATTTGAATTTAAACGCTTGATAGAAAGAAAAAAAATTCATGATTTTGATGGCAATAAAGCTACTTGTCCCCAATATTATTTTTCTTCACTTATATGTCTCTACTTAATCAATAATGGACGATAGGAGAAGAGTCTTATGTCACAATCTCAATTACCCTACAAAAATTTACCCATCAACGTCTTGAATCTAATCATCAGTTGCCATGTGGCAATACCGAACATGAGCGAATTACAAAACTACCCTTTAGATATCATATAGTGAAGTCAATATAATTCGTCGAAAAAAATTTCATTCACTGTTTGACATAAAAGAAATATTAAAATGATGTGAAAAGTATGATATGAATATATTACGTGTCAAATGTTGTCAACATAAGGCATATGTATTATTATAATACTAAAAAAAATGATAAATTATTTTAGGCTAATATTTGTACATATATTCCATCTTTAAACATGTGTATAAAGACGAGACAAAAAAAAAAAAAAATGAAAAGGTCATAGTCAATAAGTAATTGGTGCATGCATGTGTATGGATTGGTCACCTAGTCATCACCTAATCGTCAGTATGTTTAGACATCATTCGTTGGATCAACTGTCTTGTCTCTTCTTCGGCTAGTATTCTATCATTTCTGCTACGAGATTCTAAATAAGCTTCAAAGAACTCTCTGTTTTCTTTCTCCAGTTCCTTCCACACTATTACAAAGAAATAATAAATTATCTAGATAGTAGATTTTTAAAATCAGTATGTCATCTAATAACCCTTTAATGCAGATTCGAATTACATTTGTAATTGCTTTGAATTATACGGAACAATGCACAAATTGTCAGCTATGTTGAAGTAGTGATGATGGGTGGGAAGAAAATAAGGAAAAATGGGAACGAACCAGTTTCAGTGATTATCGGAGTAATATTAGCGTATTTGGAGAGAGCTTCTATGCACTCCTCTTTATTCATGTGGAAGATCAAGCAGTTCTCGATCAGGTATTGCACCTACAAGCGAACGGAAATAACGTTCATAGACCGTTAATAATAAAGAACATGAAAGGAAATGAATGGTTACCATATGAATGTAAGCAGCAGAAGAATCAGCCATGAAATCTGAATTTATATGTACTACGCCCATCTGCGCTCAAATATATATAGATTCATTTAGTGAAAAGGGATTTGATAACGCTACACCGACTGGCAGCAATGGAGAGGTGAAAGCGTTGTGCTTATAGGAAATTGACTGGTGGGGTCAACCAGTAGTAGCGTACCACGTGGGCGATCGGTGATAATTGGTGCAGATGGGATTCCTGAATGACCAATCATTTGTCTCGTATTGAGACTCCTTACCACGTGATCTGTGGGCCCCCACCTCCAGATCAGACAAAATCACAACCCCACGGCCAACTCACCAACCACCACTTACCCTCTCCCATCTTCTTGCTTACAGGTAAACCTAGGTTTACGTTTACCTACGTGTCCATAATATATATCCACGTGGACAATTCATTTCCAACTCCACATTTACATCTTCTTAGCAGTTTTTAAAAATTAAATAAATTTCATAATTTATAAATCTATAAAATTTTTAATCCATTGATTTATGAATAAGTGATCTAATTGTGGTTTTAAAAAATTTACAAACTAATAAGACCCAAATTACAACGTTAATATCAGTAAAAATTTTAAATAATTAAATAATATCAAATATATTATTGAATTATTAAACTCTGAAATTAAAAGTTTATGACTTATTTATTAAAAGATTTATTAGTAAATTACAAACCTCCTAATAATATAATATAATTCAGAAGGTTGCATTTTACTCTATTAATTTAGAGTATTAAAATATGAAAATAAATATATATAAATATATCTATATATATATATATAAATTCAAATATATTTGGATAAAATTAAAACAAATGGTAAGACTAAGTAATAATTAAACAGAAAAAGTCAAATTAATTGAATCACAGGTAAGTAATTTTATCAATTATAAAGTGAAGTGACGTAACCTTATCTAATTATTGATTACTTTGTATTATAAAAAGCTAAGCATCTTCCTTTGAAGTTAAGCGTAATTAATTAATGATTACTCTTTTAATTTAACCTCCAACATAATTGTACTTCGGGGGCAAGAATGCAAACAAAAAGAAGGACAGGGGTCAAAATCGAAGGGAAACTTTCAAAAGTGGTCCAAAGAGTAATTAGAAGAAAATTTTGGGAAGAGTATGTGGGGCCCAGGGAATGAATGGGAGTGTTGAAGTTGCACACGCAACCACTGGTGTAACCTTTTCTATTTTGTCATTATTTTCCATTATTATTATTATTAAAAATATGGCAATTTTTATATTTGAAAATTTTAATAATTTCAAGCATATTCTAGTAATTAGTTTTTTTTTTTAAAAAAAAAACAATATTTTTTTTTACACCAAATTAGTTCCTTTTTTTTTCTTAATAATTTTAATAAGAGTAAATATATTCTAAGTTAGCTAATTATGCTTAGTTGATAATTAAGTAATTAATTTTTATTATAAATATCACATTGAGAAATTTAGACATAAAATTGACACGTGGACGAAGGAAACTAAATAGCTACTAAAATAGGTTGTTTACGTCTCAAAATAAAAAATAACCAAATTGTTATACAATAACATTTTAATCTTTTAACGGTAATAATTTAATACGTATGGTTAAAGATACGGTAAAGTTTTAATAAAACTGAAATAAGGTTTTTTTTTTTTTTTTTTTTT